GGCTCCAGAAGCGGCTGATAAATCGAATGTAGGGGAGCTTCTGTAACTCTAATAAAAAGGCCTCGGCTTCATGTTTGAAAGGCATGCAACAGATAAATGAGGGAGAAGCATCAAGAAAATTTTGTTTACTGTAGTCTAGTCAAGGAATCCTTCCTAGATAGAGGGCCTGCAATTCATTCTTAAAAATCAAATGTATGGAACACATAGCCTTCCTTGCGACAGACATGTGAATTAGTAAAGAAGTACAGAGAAGTGTGATGAGGTACCCCAAAGGATAACCATTTGAAGGGTATCGCCGATAAAGTTGAGAAAATTAACTCTTTGCTGAAACTTAGCCCTTCAGCAGACAGCGAATAAGATCATCGGGCCAAGGGTCAAAATGTCAACAAATGGTGGCAGAGACGGTCGTGAGTGAATAAAAAGACGACAGATATGCAGCTCCAAAGAATGAACAATTAGTTGGCCGGGTTGAGGATTGGGATAATTGCTAATTTACGATACTAAGGAAACGGCTTTTGACAAAATACAGCAAGCAGTAAGGACTACAACACATGCAACATGGAATATGTGGAACGAATGTATCGGTTCTTCCACTAATTGCAGTTCATGAGATATCTTACATTTTTGGCACACATTTGGGCAGCAATACTGCAGTGCTTGATGGAATATTGTCCGTCCGACTGATGTATAAGCTATGAGAAATCGCAAATCGCAGTTGCTCAGCATGTGGAACTTTTGAGCTAACGTTTCGTTAAAAATGGAAAGGTTGAGTTATGCACAGAAGCGCATCGTCACTCATTTCACGATATCCCTCAATGCGTAGTCACTAGCTTCAGTGTTCAGCCTCTAAATTCTCATGTATTGGAAATATTACAAGAGTGCTGAACATTTGGGCAAGGAGATATTGCTAGCACATCTTAGAGAAGCCTAACTTATCCTAGTAGAACTATTTCAAATAAATATGAAAAGGTGTTTACACAAAGAAGTTCTTTGTTCAGCTTCGTTCTTCGATGCTTACGTGTATAGAAACTTGGTTATTTTAGCTTCGCGTTTACTGGAAGTGTGTCTATGACTATTCGTATATTGGAACCGACAGATTTTTTGAAAGTTCATATGGTCTCAATTAAGCTTGATTCGGTGAAGTTGACTTTGGAGGACGGCAAAGGTGATTTTTTGTTTTCTGCCTAGAAGGGAAAGTTCTCATCTTTAATAGTGGACAGAGATTTGCAGTGTTTTATGTTCATGCGAGATTTCGGCTTAGTATTGGTGCATGGAAGCGCTTCCCGTACTTTTGTTCGGACTTTATATTTACTGATCGTTGTATCCAAATTGCTCATAGAGATGTGCTTTCTAGCCCTGTATAATGATAGCCTTATTTTCATTTCGTTGATCCAGCTTTTTTTCAGTCATGAAGGATCTTAGTCATACTTATGATCCGAAATTCAACATTGCCACTATCAACTTGGGTAATATGGTTCGCCCTCAAACGGTGCTTCTTACTACAACTTTATTTCACCTTGGCCTATTTTCATTGAGTATACATGTGGAATTATAGATTTTCAGGTTATCCTATCGCTTGATTATACGGGTGAAATAAACGATAAAATGCGTGGGTTCTATAGAAGTAGCTATAAGGACGAGAACAATCAAGAGAAATTCCTCGCATCTACTCAGTTTGAGGTAGCGAGCATTCTTATTCTAGCGCTCTCGTTTTCTGTCTTTAGCAGCCAAGCCAGTGCCGGTCAGACTGCGAAGGTTCTTCGAATCGTTCTTTGTTTATAAATTCATCAACTTTGCAGTCCACTTATGCTCGTTATGCTTTCCCTTGTTTCGATGAGCCTATATACAAAGCAACATTTGATATTTCTATTGTTGCTGATCCTGGCATGTCCGCCATTTCCAATATGGTGAGACCTTTGCTTATTTTTTATTGTCTTTCCATTGTTCCTATTTATTCGAGCGATCTTGTGTGTTTTTTTCTCACTCTCGGAAACCAATTTTAGCCTGCGGTTTCTACAACTCCATGCGATTTCAAAGGAGTTAAGAAAGTTTGGATAAAATTTGACCGCACTCCTCAGATGTCATCGTATTTAGTGGCATTCGTTGTTGGAGAGCTCGAATACATACAGGTAAGGAAAGGAAGTTACAAATGAATTTTTAACCCTCACTATATTTGTGTTTAGACTTGTTCCAAAAGTGGTACTATTATAAGAGTGTTTACGGTCCCTGGAAAGAGAAGCCAAGGCATATATTCTCTGGATTTGGCAGCTAAGTATGTGTGCTTTGTCATAATTCATAATAAATATGGGTATTTGAAATATTTCAGAGCTATTGATTGGTATAATGACTGGTTTGGAATAGACTACCCTCTACCGAAGTGTGATCTCATTGCTATACCTGACTTCAGCATGGGTTAGAAGATTTCGTTTCTTTCGAAATAGACATATTCTGTGTACTCGTGCTCTTTTTTAGCTGCTTCAGCCCTTCTCTTTACTTATCTCGACAAAATTGTTGAGCAATCTGTCTTTCAGGGGCTATGGAGAATTGGGGACTGGTTACATACCGTGAGGTCGCCCTCTTAGTAGATCCAGCCAAGTCGTCGACACGACAGAAATCGCGTGTCGCTCTTGTCGTGGCCCATGAGCTTGCTCATTTCTGGTTTGGCAACCTTGTTACCATGGTGGGTACGAA